CAAGCAAAAAGCAGAATTTCACCACCAAATGCTGTTCACGAAAATCAGCCATTGCAAAAACGACGATCACACAAAACAGTTGTCACTATAAACTCTGTCGAAACCAGTCCTCACCTTCTGAAGCAACGGTAGTCGGCTTATCGACTCAGGAATGTTAGCTCTATGCGGTCATAGCGGCAAAACGCGGTACTACAAAAGCTCTGCCCACAAAAAAATTAGTTCGGTTTCTTTTGGGTACCCCATCGTATTTTATAATGTAATAATTATCATGTATCCAATTTTACCAGTACTGCAGTTCAGTGGGGTGAATATGTTAATCATGTATTTGCCTGATGATGGCTCTAATAGCCGAAACATGTAGCCGAGCCAATCTTGGCCTTGACCTTGATATTGTTGTGTTGTGACGCATTTTAATAAAGAAATTGTATATTCACTAAATTCCTCAAAACTAACAGTTTTTAAGGTTATCTGGAAACATGGCTCCTTGTACATCAGATTCACATGTACAGTGAAAATGAAGAGTTAAAGGCCTCACACAAAAACCATTTAGTCAGACTAAAATATCAAAAGTAAGACAAACTAAAAAAATCAGAAGTCTAGATTACTGTTCTAGTATCTAAGGAACTGCTTACTTAACCAACAGAATCATGCTTAACATGTCTAGAAGCTACTGCTGCAGAACTCAAGTGTTAGAGGGGAGCTTCCCTAAACCATAGTTAAGGCTTCAGGTATCTTCTACGATGATTAGTACTGTAAAAAAGAGTGGGTTATGACTGTATAGGTACACACACACATTTTTAAAATTTCCAAACATCACACCCTCAGTAAGGGGCATAGCACAATCTAATACATCCCTGCAAGAAATTCCAGACCAATTCAGCATCCATGAATGAAGTTCCACATCCAGATTCCCGAGATTTAGGATGTACAAATGAAAGAAGGAAATGTTTCAGATTTAATTAATTTATTGGATTAAACTAGGAGAAGGTAGCTGATATATTTATAGTATTCAGATCTGTAGACAGATAACTGATGCACAAGTTTTGCTACTCAAAACTCTGTGACATCACCAATGTCCTTTCTCATTTTTCTATAAATAAGATTTGTAAATAATCTTTACTTATTCCCAATCAGCCAAAGGTGCTTGGCGTCTCTGCCCAGGGGAATAGGACATCACTTTCACGTTAATATCACTGCTTTGGCTAGAATTGTGTCTTTTGGAGCAAGATGAAGTGCTTTCATGAACTGCCACAGATGCTGAATTACTGCTGCTCTGTAATTTAGAACTTCCTGGTGACAAACTTTGGATGTCAGCTGAAGCATGAGCCTCCTGCTTCCCATGCCAGAAAGGGAAATATGATGTCAAATTTCCAAATTGGTTTTTTGGCAGCCCAATTAACCGTGACAGTGCTGAATCTCCCTGTTTACTCTTTGAATTTAGCTTTTTGCTTTTAATTTGTGGGGTTCTTGAAACAAAAACTTCTGCCTTGGTTCCAGAATCAGGTCCCAATGACCTCATGACCCCTGGCTTCAGCACAAGACGAGCAGTGACAGCTGATTCTGAATCCTCAAATCTTACTTCCTTTGGTGATGGCACATGCTCATTAAGCTCTTTGTGGCAGGTCAAAGCTTTGCTATTTCCATCGCATAACATTTGAGGTTCTTGGACTTCAGTCCAGTCTTCACCTTCTGATTCAGAGTTCTTTGGAGGAGGTGTTGGGGCAGGTCGTTTGTGGTAACGTCCAGCTCTACCATCCTTCCTCAAACTGCCCTGTGAACTAGATCTACTAGCTGGCTCTGGTGGGGATAGAGACTCAACAGACGTATAAGGAGAACCTCTCTGGTCCTGAAGAGGGTTCTCATCACTGTTTTCTACCTGCAAAATTTCATCAAGTCCATTAACACCAGCAGAAATTACAGAATTTGAATTTAGTTTTGAAGTGTCATGTTCAGCACTATGCATGATGCCAGTTGCTGATTTCTCTGTAGCTGCAAGCCCAAAATTTAAATCAGACTTATTATCATCATAATTATTTGAATGCTTGATGTCAGTGTCACATTTTGAATTTTGTGACTCTGAAGAGATGTCCGCCATTTTGTCTAGAGAGTGAAATTCTGCAGATGTAGGTGTGCGCCCAGATATACCTACTGCAGTCAGGGTTTCAGATACAGTATCATCTATCACATTATTAACTTCTTCTAGAAATGAAACTGAAGGCTCTTCTATTCCCACTGGTTTACTCACAACCTCTGAAAACCCTGATGTCATATCTAAAGCCTCTGCAACTTCTAGAGGTGTATGTGTTGGCTGTGCCAAACTGAAAGGTTTAACATCTTTCAGTGAATCAATGGCAACATCCATATTCTGTGTCTTCCCCTCCAAAGAATCAGAAAGAATATCTACCTTACCAGTGATTAGGTTTCTAGGTTCAGTCTCTGCATGCTGCAAAATTGCTGGTTCACATGGTAGATCTCTTACATTTATTATAGGGCTTTCCTTTTGGACAGGTATTTCATTTTTATTCTTTGTCAATGCTTCATCTTTGTTGGTTTCATCTGCATGAGCAGTGGAAGTTCCTAGTATGATGTTATTACTGGTTATGTTTAAATGTGACGTAAGGCATTCATTAGACAAAATTGGGCCTACAGAAGAGACAACTGTGTCAGGTATTAAACCATTTGCAGTTCTGTCTAACTGCAGCAATGTTACATCACAGGATAAAGAAGTTTCATGATATGATGTAGAGATAATGTCATCCTTCACTAATGAATCCAAAGGTTCAGTGAGCAAACATTCATTATCTGGAAGTTTAGATTCATCCGACTCTGCATCATATAACGGTGTATCTTCATCATCGGGTGAATCTGATTTTACATCAGAGTCATCTATGCACTGCTCCTGACTTGACATATCATTCAATTTGGATGGGACAGCAACTACTTGTTTCTGAGCTGAGGGATAAGAAAGCTCTAGAAATGGAAAGGGAGGTGCAGCTGATCTATTTACAGTAACAGTTATGGGAAATGGAACGGACATTGATGCATGAGAGGACAAGGAAGAAGATACATCATAGAAACACTCCTCTTGATAGCTGTAGTCTCCTTCATCACCTTGTATGTCCAAGAGTTCACTGTCCTTCAAACAAAAATAAAGAGAGCAAGAAAAAGAAAACATAGTTACTGCTGTGTGAACATCAAAATGTTCAAGCTGACATGATACAATAGGCACAGTTATATTTACTTGCCACTGCCTATCATATTGTACATACATACATATATATAATTGCTTAAAAATAACACACATCCAACACTTTAAACTATTACGGCTTTATAAGGTAAAACAAGTTCATTTTCCCAACAGTTAAAAGACATAAAATGGATGTTTTTGCTTCTTGGTTTATTTAAAATTCACTATCAACTGTGCAAATTACATAACATCGTTGAGGCGAGTAATGTGTGAAGATCTAACTCCTGTCCCCCATATATGTTCATTGCATGGTGTTTAAGAACAGACATTTTACTTTAGTAATTTACCGGTATATAACATAAAATGGCATCAGTCAGGAAAGCTATTGTGGGATTGTCGATATTCTAAATGACAACCATGTAGAACTGTAACAACTGTATATATTAAATTGTACAAATTGAATTTACAGAGTAGTTGCGAAGCTATGTGGAATGTTGAAAAGTTCACTGGTCCTCAAAGGGCAGTTTGTTCCACCACGAGTGCGCTAGCAGAATTTGCTCCTCCGTAGTAGGCGGAGTCTTACAGCCGTTCAGCTGGCCTGCCTGTCCGGTGATGTAGTGTTGTGCGTGCCGGTAGAAACGGCTGCCCACGGTCAGTTGCTGGAGTTGCGGCAGCTGCATGAGTAGCCTGGTTGCTGGAGACTTGCGGCAGCGACGTTACCGGCCTGGTAGCAGTGAAGAGCTAATGACTCTGACTACCGATCGCTCTGAACTGAATGTGATCACTGACAATTGCGAGCTTTGGGCTCCGCCTTTTATATCATGCTTGATGGGGGGAGCGAAACTTGCAGTTGCGATTGTGAGCACTGATTGGCCAGCAATGATGCGAAGGTGTGCTGGACGAGTGCTGTATAAATATGAGCGTAATGTCCGGCAATGTGATATTCACTTAGGAGTGAGTGTTGTCTGAAAGACCGGCGAAACAGCGTGTTATGTGGGGATATTCCCACACTATTCTCCAGTCCAAGCTTCCATAATGAAACCTCCCAAACATGAACAAGAGGTACTAACCACTATAAAATTACAATGTAGTACATAAGTCGGAAATGGAAAAATTCTAAACACAACAGAATCTGCAATTTAATGAATAAATGCTGTATAAGTGATAAATGTGGTGACCAATTTTCTAAGGTCCTGCATAACATGAGGATATTACAGTACATATTCAGTGTGAGATCACACCATCACTCAAATGTAGCATGACTGAAAAATTTATTTGAAAGCATCAATCTGAAAAGGGCTCAAGTAATCAGAAATGCGATATTTCAAGTTTTCATTGTTGTGAAAACTAAGAGGACTTCTGGGTTAAGACATCACAGTTTTGTTCACTGTTACCAAGATTTGGAGAAATCTGCTGTCTCCATCTTCAGGGTTGAATCCAGAAGACCATAATGTTACAAAAATAAAAAATTCTGATTCATTATTTGCTCTCTATTACCACAGAATTATGAGAGACCTATTATTGACATCAACATTACAATTACTCCCTGGAAACTAAAGTAACAAGAACTAAAATAATCATGTGGAAAGCTCAAATTATTTCAATCAACAAACGATTTCAAAGCAGTAAGAAGACTCACCTCAGATGCAGGCCCCCTCTTGGCAACAACACCGCCACGTGAACTCTTGGTCCGCATAGATCGTGTAGATCCTACAGAGGCTGTTCTGACCAGAGGTTCCCTGCTTGCTGCAAGTCCTTCAGATTTTGCTGCATGATGTCCAGCATATAGTGGCTCTGCACTAGAATATCCTGAACTTACATCCTCAGATGATCTGATATGACTGAAAACGTATGTAAGTTATATATGAAAACAGAACTTGCTGCTACTGTCCTGTCTCTCTCCTTAGCACTTTTAAGAACCACGATTAACTTTTAAAAATCCAGTGGTTCTTTGTAAATGTATCACTTTCTTTAACATAGTAAAACTCTGCACTCTACCCACAGAGTACATTCATGTTTCATACGGTTCTCACAGTATGCAGCATTTGCTTCCCTAAACAGCATTAACCAGGTGATCTTTTCAGCAGGGATGTAATGTATTTCCTGTGAGGTATGAACTGAATTTTTATATATCATGTAGAATAAATTCAGTCTTTGTAAGGTTAATGTTGCTACAGTTTCCTTGTTTAATTAGCAACACTTTGTCAACTACATAGGTTCTAAGGCACTGAGTGGTAGAATGATTATGAATGATAACTTGAGACTAAGGTTGAAGGATGTGGGAATGGCAAATTTTAAGGTACGTGTACAATCTCAGCAGGCAACTGCAGCTAGTAACTATAAACAAACAGAAAACTAGTACCTCTCAAGTCCATGACGTAATGAATATAAAGCCGGAGTGATAATCACGTCATGACATTCAGTGTGAGATTATTGTAACAGATATGATGATAATATTTAGGACACTTCTTACTTCTTTAAGTTAGCAATTTGCAAACGAGTATCTTCCTTGCCTTAAAATCAGTATTATGCACAACTACTATAGGAAGAACCTAAGTCATAAGAACACTAACACATGTACACAATGCTATGGGAAAAACTTTGGATATAGATGTGGACGCTATATGAAACAGACTATAGTAAATAGCTGGCTGGAAAGACATTTATTTGTTCTCTTGGAAACACCTTACACAGAGACCAGTAAGTGGCTGATATTAAATTTATAAAATATTTGTAGTTCCTTAAACACGTAAGTCCAGGAAAATGTTATGCAACTAGAAAGGCTTAACTACTTGTAAAAGTCTCTTTTCACACATTTGAGACTCTGTCTCACCTTGCTAGTGGATCACACAGATACTGAATCTTCAAAGCAGAAGGTATAACTAGCAAGAAACATAATGACTACTGGCCACACATGTTTTGTGTGGTTGGAGGGAAGTTGGACTTGTGTACTGTCACAAATAAATGTTAAGTATTCTATTGTTCTCTTGGTTGTTCATTTGCAGGTCAATATTAAATAATGGGGTGGATGCCTGACTTCACTTGCTATTACACAAGTGACTCACAATGCCATCCTATTTCACATCAGTATCTGCCCCAGGCTCATGCTGTTAATGAAATGTGATATTTATGGTTCAGTTATGGACTTCTAGGTTGATAAATGTTACATTTTATCTTAATAGGATATGCAAATAAAAACTAACAATGATTATGACATGTGAATCTACATGGATACGAGAGGAAGCAGTCATGGCCTACATGATAGTGTCCTGGAATCTGCTTAGAGGAACCGAATAAAAAAAAACTTGATGAGCTTTGAGGTTTCCATGGCAATAAAATTTAAAGAATGTCGTCCTGTGGCATCCATCTTAAGGACATAACTTCTACCTTGAAGAGCTAGGCAGCAAGTTCCTCATATGTTTTCGTAACCATCTACAGAATACCACAATCTTAAGAAGAAAATATCAGCTAGGAAAGCTAAATCACATCATTGAGATTCAAACAGTACCTCTCACATACAAGTCAGATGTTACCAAAGAGGTAAACATGTTCAGAAATACATCTATCTGCAGATCATAGCAGATGATACAATGAAAATCCTTTCATGAGACAGAGACCTGCTTTGATCTTCTTATCAAAACAACACATATTTTGCCCTCGAGTGAAAAGACATTTCTGTGAGCTAAGGAAAAAATACACAACTAAAAGCAGAATAATTCTATGATTTACAACATGAAACATGTATGAGGTGAAATTATCATCTTCCATATTCTATATGGTGACCTCATCTTGGGGCAGTAAACATGCCAATATGATGGGTGATCAAATTATGTAGTATTCACAGCATGTACACGTAAGAGAAGTATAGTTTCTTGGGGTGGGGTGAGACTGAGTCTACTTGGTATGTCGGCCACTATCTGGCCTACTTTACCAGCCCCAAATGATAGATGATGAATGTGGAGCTATCGATGGAATGAGAATTGGCAGGAGATACCAAAGTACTTGGAGAAAACCTGCCCCGTGCCACTCTGCCCACCACAAATCCCACATGACCTGACCTGGGTTCGAACCCAGGCCGTCACAGTGGGAAGCTGGCAACTAACCACTCGAGCTATGGCACAGCCTTTAAGAGAAGTATAAGTGTGATAAAGGAATAAACAGGAACAGACCTTCCATAGATCATCTCCTGACCAGATCTGGGTTACATACAGACTCACTTGCAACACACTTGATTGTCTGAATGACTAGGCAAGGTAAAGTTGTCCTCCTGCTTAACAAATTAAGCACTACACCATGAAGGCATATGGGGGAGTGGATTATAGATCCACATTTTCTTGACCTTGAGCACTAGCTTGAGGTGAGTGGTCAGCTTCATGACCCAGTCGCTTTAGTCCCAAGAGCCCCTAGTACCCATTCGATAGGAGGTCAGGTGGACCCCAGAGCTGGTCTGGACAATGTGGAGAACAAAGAATTCTTGACCCTACTGGATCTCGAATTCCGACCCCTTGGGTGTCCAGCCTGTAGCCAACTGGGTATGTAAGAAAAGAGACTTATCTTACCTGAGTGGAATGCTCGGTTCCCTTGGTCGAGTGCTACCATGTTGCCGGACATCCACATCTACTTCTGGAAAGTACATCTCCATCCTGCTTGAACCAGAAGCTGAACGGCGGGGACTATAACCCCTAGGCTTCAACATTCGTGGATCTTCAACAAAACACAAATAATTGTGAAATCTGAGATTCTCATGGGGGTAAATATTAAAGTCACAGTCTTCTGACTATGATGCTGTCTAATCTGGTTCAGTTATAGCTATCTACAGGGACACACGGAAAGGATAATCTCATCTCACATCACATAATTCTTGAAGCTGATTCTGTACTATTAAGAAACCTAAAAAAACAACTTAGCCTACCTCTATTTCCTTTCACTGAAATACAGAAGACAGTCATTCACTCAATCAAGTAATATTACTCACCTAAGCCATCTGTTTCCTCCATATCATCTTCATCTGAGACATTCTGAAGGGCCTTGGTATTGCAATTCATGTCAGATTCCTTGTCTGAGGAGAGGTCACTGAGACTATAGCTCCTGCGAATTTGATTGACCAATCCCCCTCCACCCTACAATTAAAGAACACAATACTGTCAAAGTAAATTACAACACAATGTGTAAACATTAAGTCATATTTATTTCTTGATATTTAATTATTAGATATACCACCATCATAAGATTCCCTGTAATTTTTTTCCAATATCATTATTGTCCTAATAATATTATTACCTCTAGTGCCACGTTAAAAGAAAAGCTTATAATATGAATATTTAAACTGGCCAACATGTTGTATCAAGAATGTTCGTGCAGAAACAAGGAACAATATGACCACATGCATATCTGTGTTGGGACTCATCAGTGCAGCATGTAATGATCTAGACTTCACTTGAAACATCATAACAGCTGATGAAACCTGGAATATCCTTTATGATTCCTAAGTAAATGATATGCCTCAAAATGGCTTTCCCACATGAAAGGCAAGATCAACTTCAGAATACTGTATAATTACTTTTGGAGGCACATAACCTACATCTGGATAATACTGAATACAATCCACAAATCAGCAATATCAGTATCATTAGTAATTTCTGAAACGGTCATCATGTACTCCAACCTCCATGCACAGCTCCATTTGACATTTACCATCCAGTGGGCACATAGTAATGAGGTTTTAACACTACCAAACATAATAAAATCCACTGATCTCCTGTGAAGCACTAGAGGATAACAGGTATAGAGATGGCATTCTGAACATATTTTTCTTTTAAAATCTTGATGTGCACTTTCTCATGATTATGACACATTCCTCTCTTTTATATCATACATACATGGTGTGATCAGCTAGTTTTTACACTGGCCATAATACAGCATTACTGAAGTTGGGACAAAACTTCTCTGCTAGGTCAAGGTAGAGTAGAATCTGCTATGTCAATTTCTGTTGCTTTCATAGTTTTAGCTTAGCTTGTATCATCCTGAAGTAACACTTTGTAAAGTGAGGTTGCGTGTAATGCCACCTGAAATTTGAGTTTTATTAAAGAATGGCAGGCTTCAAAGAGCATCATGTGTGCATCAAGTTTTGCTTCAAACCAGGCAAACCTGCCATAAAAATTTACAAAATATTACAACTTTTATTAATAAAAACGAGCTAAACTCAAACACTGGATTGGTTTTCCAAGTTCAAAGGAAGAGTGAAATCAGTTAATGATGCTGAGTAATCATAATATCCAACCATCATCAAAGTGGATAAAAATGTCATGTGAATCAAGGAACTTCATGAAAATAGGTCACCATCCATGATTTGGCTAATGAGATAGAAATTTAATTCAGATTACGCCACAGAATTCTGACACAAAATCAGCACGCAAGAAACTGCATAAAATGTGTGCCTCATCCGCTGATCGAAATTCCCAGGGTTTTTTTCCCCCCATTTTTCCAAAACTCAACTGGCAATGAAGGGAGAAATATTGTGACACCATCATGATTCAAGAGCTCAATACACTGGCCTTTGCAAATTCTATATCAAACTGAACTATTCAAAGGGGACATCATGGAATAAGGACTAAATGTAGTTATCACAGAAAAAAGAATACAATGTAAGTTATTTCATAATACCATGTATATGAGAAAAATAAATATAGCTTTGTGCTTAATTAATATACCACAATATAAAAGCACACAAAGAAAAACTAACACTTAATGTATTGAACACCCATACAAAATTAACAACTGAATGGCAGTCTTATATGTAAATGGCTGCAGCAGTGCTAATTTCCTTGATATGGTTCCCGCTTTCTAAAGTTTGACTACAATCTGTTATGGCTGCCCACTTCTTACTTGGCCTTTTATTACTTCTTCTGTGAGATGTAAGAAGTATGATGCATACCTTAGAATATTATATAGTGTACCCCCTTTCATAACCAATCACAATGGCTGCATGGTCTAAGGCATGAAATTTCTTTGCCTGCTTGAACACTGGGATCATGGGTTTGAATCCCATTCAATGCATGGATGTTTGTCTATGTTTATTCTGTGTTTATGTAAGGTAGCATCCTTGGGATGAGCTGATCCCCTGTCCAAGGTGTCCTACCGACTGTCTAAGATCAAGAAACTGAAGTGAAACGAGTGTTTCACAGATGCCCTATGCTCCAAGATGGAGCAATAGGGAAAAAGACAGAGAGGAAGACCTCCTTCATAAAGAACAGGCTCAGACAACTGTGTTATGAGAGTGTAAGAAGTACTTTGGAAGGGACAGATTGTACATTCTTAATTATAAATATTAATTCATGACTATATTGCTATTCTACTTGATATGGAAGAATTGTTACTACAAAGATGTGGGTTCCAATTCCATTAAATTTATTTAGTAATTTAAGTCATGAATAAACTCCTTTCAGTATATACTGGACAAGAGTTTTCCATTCCCCATATGTGCTCCAGCTACAACATACACGCTGCCACCTGCTGGAAGGACTGGAGTGTTGTCCTGGACTGCCTTGTCTTGACGAGAGTCCTGCATTTGGCAAAGGCAGAAGAAACAACTCCTGATATATATAAGAGCGCAATATGATAGGATTATATTTACTTCAGATGACAGAGGGATGAATACTAGCAGTGAGTGCTTACTGCTTAACATGGATTCTGAATCATGGGAAGGCTTAGCATTTCTTACACATAGATTCTTCACACTTTTTCAAGGTAAGGCATAATGAAAAGCTAACATAAGATGAGAACTGGTCCCAATCAGAGCCCTTTGTCCTTTCCTGCGCACCAATTTCTGATAAATAAAAATGAGAAAGTGACAGTAATTCATCTGGCCTTAAAACCCATGAATTTTGAAGCAAAATTGACATGTGCAAAACTACTATGAAGTGACTGCTGGAAAACCTGCTTTCTTTGGTTGCTAGTACAATGTAATGGACTTCCACTATCTTTTACCTAAACTAACTTCAGGCGCCAAGCAAGATGGCTCAAATATTAATGCTTCTGACTTGTATTCAGGACATTCTTGCTTTGAATCTTGGCTGGGAAACAGACTATTCTGAGTTTTTTTTTGTGGTTTTTCACAGTCCCTCAAGGAAAATTATAGGACAGTACCTCTAATCATGAAACTACTCTTTCCTTCTATAGCCATTCCAATTCATTATGAATTAATCAACCTACCATTTTACGTTATATATCCTAAGCTACTGGCAGTGCAATTAAATAAGTCCCAAATACATAAAATAAAATTCTAGGTTCCTAATGGAAAGAAAATGGGTGGCTTCCACGGAAAACTAGTCTCAGAAAAATAAAATGATGAATACATAGATCTACTGTCATATTTAGCAAATTGGTAAACAGAATATTTCAAAATGATTAAAAATTAGATTCATATAATCAGAAGGATGGGAGAACAAAAATCAATAATGCAAATGCAATCATTTGGTATGGATATACTAGTTTAAAATATATAAAACTTTGGTATTTGGGAATAAGCATTGTTAAATGTTTTCTGTTTTTGCAGATACTGCAGTTGCCATCTTGAGAGTTAATGTCTCTGTGGGAGGTTTCTTCATCACCTTCTTTCCTATCTGTCTGTCTACTAATAATTTTTTCATAACCTCTTTTCTTAGAAAAATGACCACTGAAAACTTCTTCAGCACTTCTTTTCCTAACAACATGGTTACTATAACGTTTTCCATCAGCTCTTTGCCTTACTACATGGTTGCTTAAAAGTTTTTCCATTACCCCTTGCCATAGAAATGGGGTCATTGAAACATTTCCATCACCTGTTTCCAGGACCACCTGGTCTACAAAAATGTTTCAATATTTCATAACCTTCTTTCATTCATCATTTGGCTGCTTCCTATTGGATAGCATCCTGTGCCTACATATCATCCAATCATGCCTTCCCTTCCCACTCATCCACTCATTGCCTACTGCTAACTCTACAAAAGGGGGCAACAACCCCCCCCCCCTTGAGATATTCACCCTGAAGGCAGCAACTGCAATGACTGCCATAACACTGAAAAATCCTCTATATCTGCTGTGGCTTATTCCCAGATGCAAAGGTTATACATTCAATTTCAACCAAGAAAACCTAATGACAAGATTTACAATATGTTTCATGTCAATTTCAATATCTTTTGGCTTTATGGAAAAACATATATGAAACTTTAAAATAAGATCAGATGAAAGGTTTAGTATCTGATTTTGCTCTTTAGACTGAGGAAACTTTCAGATTGTCACTGCCTTAGCTGAACAAATTAAATTAAAAATCTCACTGAAATAGGTGTGAAAGATGGAAGAAGAAAATATAATGCTAAATTCAAAACAAGATTTACATTTTGTGTTTGGTATTCCATTGATACATGATATATATGCAATTTTAGCCATTCTTCCATCCATCATATAAGAAACAGACCATTTTTAACAAATGTCTAATTTGCAATCAGCAAATGATAGTGAATACAACATGGCGTTCGATGGAACATTTACTCTGGCATGAAGCTAACTATCTGGATGGGAAATTTTTAATGCTGAATCATGAGGTATGGACACATTAAATTAACCACTTACAGAAAGATAAAACTTCTAAGATCACATACAAGTCTAATACAACAATAACAAAACTGCTAATGTTTTACATGACAGTTACTACATACCACAGAGCAGCAAATCACAAAATATTTTAAAACACATTTACAAGTAGCAAGTTTGTATGAAATCATTCAAAAACACAGTTATGTTAAAAGCTAATGAAATTCTATTTATGAACTAATTTCACAAATTACATTCAAACTAAAATATAGATTAATTAAAACTAATAACTTCTTTAAATTAGAATAATTTTATAAACGCTTTACTTACTGTACATGGAAATTGTCAATCAGGATGAGAATACACAAGAACTTTGTTACTTCTTTAAAAAATTATCATTCACTGCAGATGAGTGTATAATGGAACAAAATACATCAATAAACATCAGCAGACAGAATGTTTTTCATACTATTATAACAATTTGCCAATTGTCTTTCATAATGTCTGTTAAATGCATATTAGCAACTATCTATCAAGGAATGTGTAGAGG